CCTTTTGAATATGCCACTGTCTTTCTGAATAAAAAGAAATAGGCTCCATAAAAGCCACACAACTGCTCAGAAAGCTGCACAGCAAAAGCAAACTTCCAAAGCCCAACACTGCCACCAGTCAGGACAGAGTTATCTGATTGCAGCCGTCTGTTAGCTGGGCAATACAACTAAACTCATAGCATAGAGGGAAGGCAAGTCAACTGAAGTCCCCATTTGTGATTAGTATGGAAACAGGAATACGTTGATTTGCGCATTCTCAAATTACAATCTCCATCCCGGGTCGGCTGCTAGACAGTCCACAGGTCCCATCACTTTCATCCAGTTCAAGCCTGTCCTCGCCTCTCCTCACAGGCGTACCAGTGATTGGGGATCTTCCTCAACCCATAACTCTTGACCTTTCATGTGCACTCTCACTTTCTGAAGCTCAGCGTACCATGGGGATCTGGCTTTGATTGCCCCTCTCTTTCCAGTCTTCTTACTTTGGGGAACATCTACTATTCCTAGTATTTCGAGCTTGCTATCAATTACAGTGTGAACAACATTCCAAATAATTGCACAGTAACATACCTTAGACGGAACATAAAAAGGGGCCTGTGATTTGGACTCTATTCTCTACCACAACAGACATGATCTAGGGGTCATACTATCAGAAGGTCCTCAGTTCTCCAGAGAGATGAGCAAAAAATCTAGGTTGACATATAGTGTAATATAGAACAGTACTACACTGTTGCGAGTGTAATTGAGATGTCTACACGCTTGTACTGATTAAAAGATCCCTTGACTATATTCAAAGAGGAGGCAAGATTTTTCTGATATCATTCCAAAAAAGTTGATCCTTAAATGAACATCTCAAAAGTTGATCATCTGGTCAGCGATAGTAGGAACTGCAGATGCTGGAGAATCCGAGATAACAAGGTATACAGCTGGATGAGCACAGCAGGTCTATGAAACATCAGCTTTCCTGCTCCTCTGATGCTGCTTGGCTTGCTGTGTTCATCCAGCTCTACACCTTGTTATCTCTTGATCATCTGGTCATTTGGTTTCATACTGTTTGTGGGAGCTTGATGCATACAAATTGGCTGCCTCATTTCATACATTACCTTAGTGTAGACAACTTTAATTTTTTTGTCTGAAACATGCTTTGCAACATTTGCTGGTCATGAAAGGTGCTCCATAAAGTCACAACTTTCTTTCTCTGATTATATAGATGATACCGAGGAGAAATTGATATTGTATGAAAAATATGAAAATGTAATCAGAGACGTTCTGAGGTACCCATTCCTCCCTTGACACTTAATCCAGAAAGTTCTAACACACATCACACAATGTATGGTATTTGAACCCGACAGATTGATGGGTGCCACCAATTTAAGATTTGTTTTCAAAGGCTCACATAACAATGTAGTTTTTGTCTTTCCCTACAGGGAGTTGCTATCATGGCGAACTGATAGAACAGCAGCTAAGCACAGCGCTTAGAGTGAGAAATTTTCATATTACGTCCACTTGAACTGTAAGAAATACATTGCAGCACAACTACAGAACTTGCCATTCCAAATTTACTTGCTATCAGAAAACACTTTCCTGACAATATGACATTTTTTTTCTGCGTAAGATATGCAATAATTTAAATTAAGAAAAAGAAAAACCACAAGCTGGAAACTTAAATCCCAAAAAAAACTGAATTATTAGATTATCTAATTAAGACTACTGGACTAAGAAAATTGAAATAACAGTCCAAAATTAGAATTTAGATGATCACAGGCTTGTCAGACAAGGTTCTCAATACACTGAGATGGCAGACCAACTTACCCTCGAAAAGCCTCGAAATTGGGGAGACGAAATGCAGACTGGGCAATCACTTTGCAGAACACCTACATTCTGTTCGCAAAAATAACCCTTTGCCTGCCACTTCAATACACCACCACGTTCCCTGGCCAACATTTCTGTCTCAGGCTTGTCACTGTGCTCCAGTGAGGCTCAGTGTAAACTGGAAGAATAGAATCTCATTTTCTGCTTGGGAACACTGCAGCCTTCTGGACTCGCTATCAAGTTCAATAATTTTAGGGCAACTTCTCCCATGTCATTTCCTGAACCCCCATACACCAGACATTGTCCTCACATGGACTGCTTTACAACAACCCACTGTCAGCCACAAATGGTCGCATTAGCAGTGTGTGATCCCTCATGCTGACCTTTTCCCATTCTTTTGTTCGCGCAATTGTCATTCTGTATCACTAGCTCCATCTTCACCTACTGTTTACTCCTCCCCGCACCCCATACCCCATCATCAGCATATATACCAACCCTTTCCTGACTGAAATTGGTTCTGAAGAAGGATCACTTGACCTGAAACATTAACTCTGCTTTTCTTCCATAAATGCTGCCAGGCCTGCTGAGTTTTCCAAAAAATTCTGTTTTTTTTTTGAATATTGTGTCTTGTGACAGACTTCTTTCCATAGATTAACAAAATATGTTATTTAATGATTCAAGACTTTGATTTTTGCACTACATTGTCTACTCAAAGAAAGAAACCTTCAAAAAAAATGAACGCTGTAGGTAATGTTACTGCATTACTGGCTCAACTGATAAAAGGGAGTGTCTGAGAAGTCAAAAAGGAGGCCATGAAAACCAAAATGTAACCCTCGAGAAAATCTCAAGTAAAAAAAAAGCCGTTTTGTACCCTATTGTCAAATAGTGGTAATAGTGTTGGAGTAATTTGCCTCGAAAGATATATCATAAAGTAATATTGCGCAACTTTGGAAATGTATTGGTCTGAGTCTAATTTCTCTTACAATGAATTAATGTTAATGAACTTATCAAGTTTTATCACACCATTGCCCAAAGTGGGATGGAACTCCTGAACTGCAATGTTACACTTGAATAAGCTCAGTGTGGATTCAGAATGGCTGCCTTGCCTTAATGTCATAGAGTGAAGGTAGGTTGAGCAGGGGAGGGGTACAGAGTTGAGGGAGGAAGGGAGAAAACACTTTTTTCTCTTATCCATTTGAAAGAAACCAAGATGTATATATGTGCACATTGCTTACTACTTCCAAACATGAAGAGATCAGACCATAAAACCATAGGACACAGGAGCAGAATTTAGGCCATTCAGCCCATTGAGTTTGCTCTGCATGGCCGATAACTTTCTCAACCCCAATCTCCTGTTTTCTCTCCGTAACCCTTGATCTTTTTGACAATCAAAAACCTATCTATCTCTGTCTTGAATACACTCAATGACACGGCCTCCACTGCCTTCTGTGGCAATGAATTCCATAGATTCCATTAACAGCAAGAAATAAAAATGGGCTTGTGTTTTGGTTAAATACAAGTATGTCCCAATGAAATTATGAAAGCAAACAACACTCTAGTTAAGTTGCTTTGAGTTACTATTTTGTGCTATTCTTATTGCTTTGCAGATAATAATGAGTGCAGAAATAAGGCTAATCCCAATGCTGCAATCAGAATTCTCACCCTGAATTGTCACAGAGAAAATCTTACTTATGTATATACTTAATGTATACAAATGCACTGACATAGAGATGTCTGCAAATACGTGCACACATGCGTAAACAGAATGCATATGTACACACATACACAAATATAAATGCATATACACATTTGTATACAAAGATGTGTACATATGTATATTTCACATACACACATATACATCGCATATATGAACACAGATGTATTTAGCTAATATCACATTTTCATATTCATGTATATATAGATATATAAAAACCTTTTCTTTCCTTATTCATATGCATGAAGATCTACATACATGCCAATAACAGGTATATGCACATGTATGCATCCATGTACGCATATGCTTATTCACAAACCCATGTGTCCACAGAGGAATAGGTGCATATACACATTTGTACTGTGTATATAGATGTAGTGACATAAATGTTTATAAATGCACATAAGCATATATACATACACATGTACACAGACATTAGATATCTGAACATTCTCTATACGTATTGATATATAAACTAATAGACATTGCATTTTTGTACATATATAAACATAGGCACAAACTGACAAGTTAATGGTCAACATGTATTTCGTTAAACAATCACGGGGCAGTGTACTATGCGTGAGGCAGATAAGATCGAAAGGGTACACGCAAATATTAAAGGCACGGTACGTGGTCTGAATGATATCATAGGCATCACTCCTGATGCTGTGATGCATTTCAATGTAAATGGAACTTCTATTTCTTTCTAAATCAGGCTTCAATATCAACGGACAAGCCACGATGGAATAACAATACCAGGTAATACAGAAGAAAAAAATCTAAAGCAATCACACAGCGAGACGATGATATCGAACCTCAATCTTTTTTCTCTGTCGAAAGCTCACTGGGTCCCTCTACATTTTAACTTACAGTCTCAACCCAGGTTATTAAAAAAAAACACATTAATACCTCACACTGCCAAGATGCGTTCAATGTATAACTTTACATAAAAGACACGTACTACGGAATAAAATGTGACTTTACTCAAACGACTTGTTTTTACCACGACTGAGCTTTCGGATTGCCTTGTATCTCTGGAACAGCAAACAGACACACATTGATGGGTTAAAACGCTTAAAAGTCGATTGGCTGTGTAGTATTGTACAACCTTGCTGTTTATCCGTTTTGCTGTCTGACACACTGTTAAGTCGCCTACATTGTCGCCTCCAGTTGCTCCCGGTGTAATGTTGCAACCCGCAGTAAAACAACGCCACCGACTGCAAACACAGCCAGCCCCCAGGTTACTCTGAATTCATTATTCCACTACAATACATGCTTGCTCCCGCTAAACCATTTACAATGTTTCCCAAATTATCCTTCAAGTGACATGACACTACGCATTTTGCCAACTTCACTCAACCGTCGATCTTCTCCGTATTGTGTCAACTTATGTAACGACATGGATACAATTTTCCCTGTGAACACGTGGAAGAAATCTCTACTGTACCAGTAGAAAATCACAATCATTGCCTCCTACCTGTTTCCAGAGATCTGCAGGATGTTTTTTTCTTGTCGTCCCTTCCAAAGGAAAGATTTGCTCTCCTTTTATTATTTCACTCTTAGTTGGACAATGTTTCTGTTGCCGTGCTCATCTTTTTTGTTTCTTTCCAGAATATAAAATGTTTCCCATGTTGCCTTCCTCAGAATCAGTCTCTCTCTCTCTGTTACCAATACCCTGGCTCTGTCTCTCTAGGTACTGGAGATCTGTTGTGAAGGAAATCTCTTCTGGGTTGCTGACGTCACGTCAGTCACAGCAACAACTAAAACACGGCATCCAAAATAATGAGGAAAGTGAAGGAGAGAGGGGCCAACTGCATCAACACCCGGAGTTCTCTGCTTCTCCTGCCCTCTGCCTGCGACTCCTCGGTGGCTCTGCTCCCTGACCCACCGACCGCAGTGTGCCGGCGTTCCTCCGAATAATACACACAGAGCAAGAGCTTAGCAACTGCACCCATCCTGCATTCGGCCGTTCACACAGAGGGAAAGAGTGTTCTGTTTTTATTTGTTTTATTGATTCGAGGAATGTGGGCTCCTCTGGGGCCGGCGTTTAATGCCCGCACGTAGTTGCCGTTGAGCACGGGGTGGTGAGCTCCCGACTTGGTCCTCCGCAGTCCATATTAAGGACGGATTTCCAGAATGTTGACCCAGTAGCATACGTTCCTAAACAAGATCATGTATGGCTTCATGGGGAACTTGCAAGCGATGATGTTCCCATGTGTCTTGTTGTCCTTGTCCTTCCAGATAGGTTTGGAATGCAGGCACCTTGGTGAATATCTCTAATACATGCTGCTACTTCTTAGTGTTGATGGTGGAGGTAATGGGAGTTTGTGGATGTGGTGCCAATCAAGCAGCCGCTTTGTCCCGCACAATGTCGAGTTTCTTGAGTATTCCTGAAACTGCACTCATACAGGGAAGTGGGGAGAGCTCCATCACACTCCTGATGGAGTATGCAGGGAAGTGTGAAGTTATTCACTCTACTTGTAAGAATAAAAATAGCAGAATATTGTGTAACAGGTGTGACGCTTGTAAGTAGGTGCCAGTTAACTCAGGTGACTAGACAACTGGTTTGAGATGCAGTGTGATGTCAGCACTTTGGGTTCAATTCCTTTACCAGCTAAGGTCACTATGACGGTCCTGCTTTCGCAACCTCACCCTTTCCCTGAGGTATGGTGACCATCAGGTTAAACTTACCCAACAATGTATAACATTGCCCGTATATGTCTTGTACACAAAAACAGCACAAATACAACTTGGCCAATTACCACCCCATCAGGCTAATCTTTGTAGAGTCATACAGCACAGAAACAGACCCTTTGGTCTAACTTTACATGCCGATCAAATTGCACAAGTTAATCTAGTCCTGCTTGCCTGCATTTGGCCTATATTCCTCTAAACCTTTCCTATTCATATACCTGTTCAAAAGTCTTTTAAATGTTGTAACTGTAGTGTAATTGAAGGTGTCTTTAACAGCACTATTAAGCAGCACTTACATAGCAATAACCTTCTCCCTAATACTCAGATCAACTTCCACCAGGGCCACTCAGTTCCTGACATCATTTCAACTCAAAGCCTGTGCGCTATCTACAAGGCACACATCAGAAGTGTAATGGAATACTCTGCATGGATTTTGCTCCAACAACACTCAGGAAGCTTGACACCACCCAGGACAAAGCACCCATCTTTGATTGGCACCACATCAACAAGTATCCATTCCCTCCACCACCAATGTTCATCAGCAGCAATGTTTGCCATCTACACATCCCCACTTCAGAAATTCTTCACAGCTCCTTAGAGAGCACTTTACAATCCTACAAAGAATACTGTCCAGAAGGACAAAGGCAGCAGATACATGGAAACACCAACATGTTCAAGATCCCCTCCAATGTGTTGACTATCCTGACTTGGAAATATATTGCAATTCCTTCAGTGTCACTGGGTCAATATCATGGAACTCCCTCCCTAACAGTTGGTCTACCTCCACACAAGGGACTGCAGCAGTTCAGGAAAACAGCTCACCACTACCTTCTCAAGTCCAATTAGGGATGGGCAAATAATGTGATATATTAGCCAGTGATATCTACTTCCAATGAAAGATTAAAACAAAAATACTCCTCCCAGAGTTGAATTTCATGAGCCTTCACGACACAATAGTTCAGCAATGATCTCATCAAAATTCTGTTCAATTTTTGCAAGCTTTTTAGCTTGCTGCGTCAGCATATTGACTTATTCAATTCTTTATTCTATACAAGCGCGCTCAAATTTCTTTACTCTTTTAAATGTTACAGTGTATTTAAAAAGAATTAAATAAAGTTATCATAGCTCCTCTCTCTCATGAGAGAGAGGCATGATTGATGGTGCGTTTAACCTGAGGGTCACCATACCTCAGGCAAGGGGTGAGGTAGCGAAGGCAAATCTTTCATGGTGACCTCAGATGATACAAGAATTGAACCCACACTGTTGGCATCATGCTGCAACCTAAGCTAGTCACCCACCCCACTGTGCTAACTAGTGTTGTAGCTATGCTGGAACAGCTCAGTTAGGGACATGGCAAATCCTGGCGCATACATATTCAGTACCATTGCTGGATTTGTGGATGCTTCATCATTGAGTATATTTAAGTCTGGATTAGACAGACATTTGGTGTCTTGGGAGAACAAGGAGTGTATGAAACAGGCAACAAGGTGTAGTTGAAGGTTGAAATCAGCTATCCTTGTATTAAATGGTGAAGCGTGGCCTATTTCTGCTCCTTCATTCATTCACGGGATGAGGGCATTGCTGGCTAGGTAGTATTTATTGTCCATCCCTAATTGCACAGAAGGTAGTTAAGAGTCAACAACTTTGATGTGGGTCTGGAGACACATGTAGGCCAGACCAGGTAAGGATGGCAGTTTCCTTCCTTAAAGGACATTAGTGAACCAGATGGGTTTTGCCCCAACAATCAGCAATGGATTCATGATCATCATCATCATCAGACCCTTAATTCCAGATATTTATTGAATTCAAATTCCACCATCTGCCATGACAGGTTTTGAACCCGGGTCCCCAGAATGTTGTCTGGTCTCCAGATTAACAGTCCCTCGATAATACCACTAGGCCATTGCCTCCCCTTCTACGTCTTGTGCTGCTGACGGGCCAAAATGCTGGCTCACATTGAATATTCACTCCATCACTGTGGCAGAGCATCTGACCATTTATCTCACTGTTGTTTGGGCAATTTGGCTGACTTATTTCCCCACAACAGCGAAGCCAAAAATGTGAACAGGGACTTATATGTATTTGCTTTAATCAGAGTTGCGTTGAGTTTTTCAAAGTATTACCCTAACTCTCAGACTTAGCACCAGGGAGTCAGCAAAGTAACCATGATCCACTCAGTGGATTGCAGAGACACAGACCCCCTGACCGAGAATCACGTCATCTGGACACCCAACCATAGCCCATTTCCTTGATTAGTTTGAGAGGCTGCGTTTGATTTACGTTCATTTTCAAGTATAACTGTTTATTTACTTTTCGTTCCCCCCACTCTGCATTGCCATGTAAGCTGCTGGCACATGGCGAAGGTGTGAAGTTGACCATACAGCAAGATGAGTTATAAAGCAAGGCCGGGTAGGCTGGGACTTTTTTCACTAGAGTATAGAAGTTGAGAGCTGACTTTATAGAGGTTTATAAAATCAAATGGGATAGAGATAGGGTTAATGGGAAGTGTCTTTTCCCTAGGATGGGGGATTTCAAGTCTACGGGGCATATTTTTAAGGTGAGCGGACAGACATTTAAAAAATGACATGAGGGGCAAAATTTCTCACAGAGGCTGGTTCTCGTGTGGAATGAACTTCCTGAGGAAGTTGTAGATGCGGGTACAGTTGTAACTTTTAAAAGTCGTTTAGATATGTACACGAATAGGAAAGGTTTGGAGTGATATAAGCCAGGAGCAGGCAGGTGAGGCTAGCTTAGTTTGGGGTTATGTACAGCATGGACTGGTTAGACCAAAGGGTCTGTTTCCATGCTGGACGACTGTATGACTCCATGTCTGACATTAACACGGTGTTTAGCAAGCCTTAATCCCCATCAATTGACACACCTCACAACTGCCTGTCGAGAATCTCACTATGTCACTTGTGAAAAGTATAAAAGATGGAGTGAGATGATTTTGATGTTGAGATGGGTCTCGTCAAACTTTTCATCTGGTTCTGCCACACACAGCCCACATTGCTCAGACCCATATTTGATTCTGTCGTATATTGGCTCTAAAATGCAGTATGTACTCTGATTGTACTGAAATCATGCACTGTTCAAATGTTAGTTCTCTGTTTCACTACAAAAAAATGGAATTCTCTCTCTTTTACTAAGAAAAATTGGAATACTTAAATAAAAAATAAAACAAAATTTGGAAACACGCAGGTCAACCAGCAACTGTGCAATACACAGTCAAACCATCAGGTGTATATTTTTCTTCCAGATATGTCACATTAACTGCCAAAACAGAATGGAATCAAGTGCACAGACTATAGGGCCTCGAGAAAGTGCAAAATTCTAAATATAACAATGGAATACTGTTCAATGCTGTTCAATGGGGCACTCTTATCCACCTGAATTACAATTGTAAAATTATTGATACTGAGTAGGCCAAACGAGAAGGCAAAATAATTGAAAGTTTTATTTATTTAACTGATTTTTCTAATCAACCTGTTCCTGACTTGAACCCAGGCCTCCCAGTCCAGGGGTAGGGACACTTCCACCGTGCTACAAGAGGGCCCCCAATGTCAGTTTTATAAATACTGGTGTTGGCTAGTCTTTATAATTGGATAAGGATAGACGCTACACATGGTTGCATCGAGGTATTGTGACTATTGTCATTAGGTAAATTATTGGAGAGGAAACAAGTCTAGCACATCCAGAATTGAAATAATATAAATACTATCAGCCTCAAGGGCAGAACAAGAGTTGACTGATCAAATGCTATTATCTGATGTTATAACTGGCTAATTGTTCGCTGGTCAGTTTGAGACAACTGGAAGGAAAGATTGGCCAGCTGAAGACATATTCAGAGTTGCAGTATGAGAGGAAACTATCAATTCCTGATCACAATTACTAATTATCTCTCTTCATTGCTACAAAATTCTAATAGTACCACTAATTGATCAGCATTGAAGAAAATGTAAAGAGATGACAAACCAAGATCATTCTAAGATGGCCGCAGCAGAGCAGCACCATTTGGGCCCAGACCCTGAGCTCAGGGCTCGT